GGAGTTTTTAAATATCTTTTTAGTAAGATGCAAATGTACAGCCTGCTGTATGTGGAGTGAGGAATATAGATGCTTTTCCTCGAGTGTTTATATATCTTAACAACTTTTTTGTTTGGTAAGACAGGTATTACCAGAGAAATTATAGGGATGTAAATTATAATTAGCAAACCATCCATCCTTTATCATCCATCAGACCTTACAAATTAAGTTTGGTGCATAGGTGTTCCTACGTAAGACTCAGAAAATTATCTGGTAACGTATGTCACTGTGGTTTATTAGTGAGCCCTTAGTTATTTCTATGAAATCAGTAACACTTCTTGGCGTCAGCAACACCCCATCACACACCTGCTGTCACTATGAAGAGTTTTCCTGTTCTTTATTCGCACTTGAAGAACCTCTTGTGGTGTCACCCCCACATCAGAGTGTATTTCTAGGTTGCAGAGTGGTAACCTCAAGGAACCCAGTGGCCTGGTTTTCTTTTGTCTGCTGTTGCCACTGACTTCAGTGGGATTTGTTCATACTCGGTGACTTGCATTTCAAAAGCACTGTTTTTAAGCAGATAAATTAATGGAAGAAATTATTCCTGTGGGAATCTGTTTTATTCTAACACAGTAAAACAAAAGAGGACATTGTTCTGTTAACCTTTAAAAAAATGATGTGAAGTGTTGTGGTGAGTGACGATAATACCGCCTTTGACACGGAACTGTACCCTAGACTTATACAGACAGAACTGCTCTTGGTCTAGAGCTTTCAATGACCTTTCTTTGACTCCATCACTCCTTCAGAATTGTTTGAAGTAATTTTCTTACATTGTTTTCTAAAAGATTTTATCTAAAGACATGGTAGATCTGGACTGAGGGGAAGATTCTTATCTGATTGGTGTTTATAAAATGCATTTATACTTACAAAGTGTTATTTCTATTAGATAGTATGTTTCTGTTCTAGCTTAAAAATGAAATTTTCTATTTAGTCCCAAATTTTAGGCTGTTACAGACTATTAGCAATCAGCACTTTAGAGAATTTCTCAAAGTTGAACTCAGTGAGAGCCTGAAAATGTTTTGATTAAATTACTAAAAAAAAGTTCTAAAGCAGTGCCCAAGTAATTTCAAAATATTGTAAATCCTTCACGACATCACTGTTGATGTGGAAGATTGTAACAGAGTACAGACTGTCAAGGCAGTAGAAGTTCTCACTGAATTCCAAAGAGGGTAGCTGTTAAAATAGATGTGATTGCAGTTTCATATAAAATAAAAGATGACTCAAACCAGGTTTTCCTTCTGTCTCATTTTATCTGTCCACTAAATTAAGTTCTTTTTGCTTAGCTGTTTCATGTCCTGACATTTTTTTTCCTTGTATTCGGTTTTTGTATCTTTTCAGAAATAAGGCTGCAGTATGAAATAATCTATTTAAAGAATTTGCATTGCATCACGAGAGCTGAGACCGCACCCCTGCAGGGAGGACAATATCTGTGTATACCAGCATTTATAAAGAGTTTATCTCAGGACTGGAATTATTATGTTTTGTTTTGTTTTTTTTTTTTTTTCTGGTGGAGAAAGCTCGTACATACTTCAGACAAAAATGAAAACCGAGTTTGGCTTTTTCATAAAGGGATTTATAATTTTCATAGCTTTTCGTAACAGTGCTAATGTAATTTTAATGCTTTGAGTTCAAAATAAAGTCTGTTGAGTATTTGCAACCTTGATACTGCAGCTTCTAGCCATTGCTAAAACTCACTAATAAAATCAAGGGGAAAATGTTTTTTATATCTGAGTGAAAGACAGATAATTATTTCAATAATGTGTTCATTCTTATGCTGACTTTTTAAAGCCATTTGAAAGAATCAAACCTTGTCTCCATGCTATTATAGTAACTCCCTAGGCTGTTGTACCCAAGTACTGTGGCTGTTGGTCAGAATAAGTGAGCAGTATTGCATTGCAAAGTCTACAAGACTCATTGGGTTTTTTAAATTTAGGTCATAAGCTTCAGCACTGCCAGTGTATTACCCAGCTGGTTAATCTCACTGCATGGTGTATCCTACGCTTTGAAAAGTATGAATGGACAGAAGATTTTTAATGTATGGTTTTAGATGTATTTTGTCTGTGGGCAAATGCAACTGTAGAAGTAAAGGAACAGCTAATGAAATTTGCCCTATATTCAGTCTTTCACCCAAAGAAGATGGTATCTGACACACAGGTTTGCAATGACCACATCAATGCAACTTTGATGGCTGAATATAAGAAAGCCTTGGCTGCCCCCCCCCCCCAAGTATACCACATTGAAAAGCTTAAAAAAAAACCCTGTTGTAATTTCATGCTCTTAGTCATATCTGAGAAGTTTCTAGGTCATTCTGCTTGTGGGCAACATACAGGTGTTCATCTATTTTTCAGCAGAAACTTGTATGAGTAGCTTCTTCAGCTTTGGTTTTCTTTCTTTGTTATTCAGTTTGTAAGTGATCTGGTGGAAAAGTTTTCATAATCCTGTGCCTGCAAAGCGTGCAGGGGAACTCTTTGCATGTCAGTACTTTGTATTTGGTTCCAGGCACTAGCAATCTTCTAAAATGTCAGTAATCTGGAAGACAGTCTTAGTTACTGATGTTTTGACGAGAGTTTAAGAGCTCATATTTAATTCCATGATCTCTGTAGCCCTGATGCCCAAACAAGCAGATACTCAAATGTTATATACGAACATGTTGAATCTACAGATCTACAAGTAGTGTTGTTACCTAGAGTGCAGCCCACAAGCTCTCCTTGTTCTTGTTTTTGTTCAAGGATAGTTTTATGCAGACAGCTAGGCAGTGACAAGTTTAAAAAGTAAATCTTGGGGAGGCAGATTGATTGTCACAATTACATGGTTTTCAGCCCCAAATGGATGTGATAGTGGAGTGTGGTTTGTGCCTTCCCTTTCTGACTGCAAAATCTGACTTGTTAAGTGCTTATTTAAGGAAGGTGGGAAGACTGGACTGGATCATTATAAAGCAACCAGACCATCCTAAGTTATTTGGGGAGTTCATGTACAAAAAGACCTAAAGGGCAACATTTTAAGGAATTTGATACAGTGGCTACAATAGTTTCTTTTAACAAAAGTGATAGTACAGAAGAATGAGAACTCATAACTCTACCATATACCTTCTTTTTGCTCTTAGATACAAATCAGGTCAATATGCTAGAAAGATACTCTAAGTTCAGTTGTGGTTAGTAACATCTCTAGCTGTGTATTTCATAGGCCAGCATGAGAGGAGCTGTTATTCAGTGTCCATGTTTGAACAAACATTGCAAAGTTTGAGTCTACATGCAGCTGTAAATATGTTAAGTGCAGATGTCTGTGTAGGCTGCAGAATTTAACTATGTCAGGTAATGAAAATGATGTGTTAAGGGGCATCTCCTTTTTTTCTGGACTTTCAGCAGTCATTTCTGATCTATGGTTTGTGTATTATTGTTTTATACTTTCATTTTTTTCTGTACTATGTGTTTTATAATTCTCTGCTTCGGCTGTTTTCATTATGACAGGCAAGAAGCCTGTGTAGTATTTGTAGGTGTGACCTGGAAGTTGGCTAGTTTTTACTTTATTATATTATCCTTTTAGCTTCATGCTTTATCTGAAAGCCTAATGCTTTAGTTGAGTTGCACTAAAAATGTATAGTTTTTCAAAGAAAGTTACTCCTGTATCTATTCATTCTAATTTTGCAGTTACGTGTTTTGCTTTGCAGTAATTCTAACATGACCGATAATTGTTTTTTTTTTACAATTCAAGTCTTTGTGGACATTATTAATTATGTAAAATGTGTCCACTTTCATTTCATGAGCTGTAGTAGGTTAAGAATTATATTTAACTGTGAAACTTCCCGAATGTGGCAGGTGGCACGCAGATGAGCAGCACAGATACAGCCTCCTGTGTTAAGTGACTTGAGCGACAACTTGAGAGTTGGTAAATGCAGATGGGTCAGTCTGAGGGTGTATGGGATCATCTTCAGGCAGGAACAGAAAAGTAGACATTAGATTAATCTGTTTTTTTCTGCTTTGTGCCATGAAACACCTTGAACTTGGCCTCACTATTCTTGTGATAACTCCATCTGAGTCCTCAATGTCTGCGTGATGCCCTTTAATTAAATTCTGTGCTCTGCAGTGGCCAGGCTCAAAAGCTGCTTGTGCTGCAGGAATGGCAGTGGGCACCAAACAGCTCTGTACCCATGTGTGTAAATAGGGAGTGACATGTCCCCAGCAACAGAGTGAGTCGGATGTCAAACTGAGGTTTGAATCCTGCAGCTGACTGCTTTCTAGGAGATGTGTTAATATATAGGGACTTTCTTAAAAACTGTCACTTACTATCTACTGCAGGAATACGGTATTGGGAGACACGAGCTATAAAAACACAATTAAGAGGCTTAGCACTGCAATCTCCTCCAGTCTTAAAACTACATCTATCCTAAACGTTTTGCCCTTGCTCAGAGACAGCCTGCATGTTTGCAGCTCCAGCCTGTCTCTCAGCCTGGCAGAGTATTGATCAACTTTCAGTTTTATTTATCCACGTTCTACCCAGCCAATGTCTTTTCAACTTTGGGGAATTAAACCTTGGCAAAGGTACATCCTGTTTACTTGGTAATAGTGTGAGTTTGACATTAACACTTTGGTCCTCTGAGCTGCTCTGGAGTTCCTTACTCTAGCTAACACTGTGTAGTCTTTTGTATCAGTTCTCTCCCCCATGGGCCTTGGTTTTTCCTAGTACATGAAAGCTGATCTAAAACCGAAAACGGAGGTGGAGTTAAAGCATCTCCCAGTTTGTCTCTAGGGGAACTCAGCACAGTAAGCAGTTTCATAATGTTGACAGAAAAACAAAACAAACCAAAACACCCCAACAAAACAACAATGACTGAATTCCAACGAACAAGCAAGTTGTGCAGCCTGTGAGGTTAAAAGGCAGTGGTGCTCCAGGCAGTGTGCTGTGTGACGGTTACGAGTAAACTGGAGGAAATAATTACATTCAGCATATGGGTTTTTCTTTTCCAGAACACGAGCTCAGTAACTGTGCCAGAAACACTGTTGTTTGTTTCAACCCTTGATGGAAGTTTACATGCTGTCAGCAAGAGGACAGGAGCAATCAAGTGGACTTTAAAAGAAGGTGAGCAGGAGGTGGTGTGGTGCCCTCCACTTAGTAACAGTGATAACAGTCAAAGCTGCTGATCATTCAAACCGATTTAGGGCCTGGTAAATACTTTCTTTCTTAATTTTACTCTTGCTCCAGGAATTAATCTACAGTGTTTCTAGAGTCATGTTCATCTTCATATTTTCACTTGCCGATCTTTTCCAGGTGTATGGTTGTTTGTTGGGTTTGTTTGGGTGTTGGTTTGTTTTTTTTCCAGAATGTTTAAGCTGTAGTGGTATAATTGGTAGGTATTATTTTTTATGGGAATGAGTGTAATATAAGGAAGCATAGAATAGATGTCAAATGAGAGCATCAGCTGGTGGAACTGGTGGCAAAGGGCCTGCATGATTCTATCCCTGGAATAGCCTATATTCATTGGTGCAGTGGGTATTGTCCAAATCTCAGGTCTTTTTTTCTATAATAGATGTTTGGGAGCAGCACAGTTTCTTAAAGATAAGAACTGCACTTGTGTAAAGGACTGCTTTGTGACTGGAACTGTTTTTGTAGTTTTGGTTACTGAGCAGAGATAGCTCTTTCTGTCTCCATGAAAAATTCAATATTAATACAGATTTATTTTAATGGGATTCCGATTAGGTGTGGTAGAAGTGATAGTACTACTTTCTCTTCATTTCTGGAAATAAATTAGAAAGCGGGTTAAATGGAAAGGAGTCACAATGACTGCATGATTCTGTCCTCTATTTTTAAACCTGAGGTCAGTTTAGTGGGTGAGCTGAGGTGGTAGGAGGTGGACTGTGCATATCTGACATCTGCAGTACAGACCAGTTGTTATTTGTAAAGCCATTTGTATTTGAATGCAAAGCTACCCAAGGAAAAGTTAACTTCATGGATGAGCAGAGATTGCTTTTGTAGTTCCTCTTGGAATAAATAGGGGTGAGCAAGTATTTTCCTGGAGGATCTTGGTTAGTAGGTGTGATTACATTTTCTCCCCCATCTCCTCTTTAGGTTTAGACCTCTCCTTTCTGTGAGCAGCTTGAATAAAAAAGTTATCAGCCTCCTTCTTTATTGTTGCTATAGGCTGCTGTGGTATTAAGAGGAGCTTGCTGGTTTTTGCTTCTCGTTCAGCTGACATGAACATACACTATGTAGTCCTCTCCTACATAACTTTAACATAACTGGCAGTTGTTTGCAGCCAGTCTTTGTAAGTGGCAGGAGGTTTCTTGAGGAAGAGATGAGTGCTCTTTGGTAATGAAGGGGATCTCGGTCAGAGAGTATTGCTCAACTTCCCTTCTTAAAAAAAAAAAAAGTTGCAAAACTCTTGTTGGCACATTAGAACTGCCAGACTGGAAAGACTCGTTTTTATAGGATTTCTTTTCTTCTCTCTGTAGCTAACTATGTATTATTCTGCATCTTATGTGCATGAGGTATATTCACTTGCTTTTTGCAAAGCACCTACTACCTATTTATTTCTTTGTAATAGAATAATACACAGGGGCCAATGAAAAAAAATTAGTGGTAGTTATTGTTATAAGATACTTCATGAGCTAACTTAGGTGTGTGTGGAACAAGGGCCTGTACATACAAATTGATGAATTATTCTGTAATTGGAGTGAGTTGGTTTATTTTTGCAAAGCTGTATTTTTTGTGGTCATCCTGTGGGTGGAAAACCCAACGAAGATGCAGCAGTGTTGGAAAGTAATAGTTCATGGAAGTCCTTACCATCGTGCTGTGCTAAGTCCCTGCAGAGGTTTAAGTGCAGAGCTCAGTGTTGCTTTCAGTGTGAAAACACGGTGGCTGGTGTGCTCCCTGCCAGCATGTGCTCGTGGTTCTTGCAGGTGCCACTTTCCCCTGCTTATCGGACAACGAGCCGTGTGTTGTAGGTCATGTGCTCTGAGAAGCCGTGGAGGTCACCTGAAGTGCTGCAGTGGCATTCGTCAGGAAGGGAACGTTTCAGTACTGTGCTTTGGCATCAACAAAGGACACTTCATATACATTTTATCTTCACAGGGGGGAAAAAAAAGAAAGCAGTGTTCATTATCAGGCAGTACTTAAGCAAACATGAAAATCTTGCCATGTGTGGTTTGTTTCAAGCTAGCACTGAAGCTTATCTTAGTTATGCAGAGTAAATGAGCCAGTGGTTATCACCACAATAGTATGTTTGGGTTTCCTGCCTTCACATAGGGCTGGCAGTCTGAGTACTTGTGCTCTTCCTAATGCAGGCAAAACTAATGGATTGGTTAGTAATTGGACTTGTAAATTAGTACAGAAGTAAAGCTGAGTTCCCTGCAGTGAGGTATGGCAAGATTGTGGACTTACTTGTTGAGGGTGCTTGATAGCTTCTTTTCCTGTTGTCTTCAACACCATCTGACAGCTCTCAGGACTTTTCAGTGGCTGGGTAACTGATGGTGGTTGTGCCCCAGCCTTGGCAACTGGAGTGTGGTTGGAAAGTTTACACAAAGAGCCTATGCTCCTCCCCCAAATTTCTGAGAGGCACCTTTGCTCCTGCTGTGGCCCCACGAAACCAGGTTGTGCTGAAAGGCACTTGTTTGAAAGGGTGTTGAAGGGATGTGGCACCCACAGAAGGTCAGAGGTTAACCTGGGCTCTCAGTGCCCCCTCAGATCAGCAGAAGGAGCTGTGGGTTCTAAAGGACGCTGGAAAGGCTCCCACATTTTCTTCACTCACCACGAGCAAGGTACTTAGTGAACATCCTTGGTAAGATCACTTAGGAATGAAATCTTCCTCAAAATGGCTAGAAGTGAAAATTGTATCACTCCCTATGGATCTTTTTGGAAGGTGCAGGGGTGCAGCACTTCAGATTTGCTTTTACATGTGTGTAAAAAGTAGACAGTGATAGAAATGGTTATGAGAAGCCTGTTGGCAAGGCAGAGCTTGGAGAATGCTTTTCTCCTTTATATTCACCATTCTGATTTCAGTGTAAGCTTTAAGAATGTGATTTTAAGACTGCCCTGTTCCCTCACTTCCTTGTACTTCTTTAACTCAAGAGCTTAGGTTAATGAGCAGAATAATGAACTTTGAGATAAGAGTGCAGTGTTTCAAACTGTACTCTTGGGCAAAGTATTCCTCTGTTCTTCTGACAGTCACTTCAGCGTGTCCTTCTGTATTGTTCATCGAGATCTCTTGTCACTCACCAGCTCTTCAAAAGCTTTTCCTCTAAGAACTAATTCAAAGTAATTTGCCAGAGGAGCGTATAGTATATACGGATTTGAATATAGATTTAGAGCTAGCAGAAATTTTATGATTTTCATTTCTGTTAGAAAAAAAACCAACAACAACAACAAAAAATGGCCCACAATCAATTTAAAACGTTTTGATTTCTGGTATCTTACTCATAACCTATGGACTTCAGTGGGCTGGTCATAAGGCAAAGGTAGGAGACTGGTGTCTGTTGATGGTGTGCCATATGTAGATTTTAAAGGGCAGATCTGAGATCTGTAGGTCCTGCTCCATGGTTGTGGTTATTCCCAGGCAAGAAGAAATACCTGTGTGCATAGCTGTAAGCCAATAAGGATTGTCAAAGCAATTATAGAACAATCCTCTTTTCAGCAGATTCTAGTGGATGGCTTGTTGGTATCTCTAACCTCATCTATGTAATTGCAACAGCAGACAAGCATGTTTTTTAAATTGGCCCGTTAGCCCAAATCTTACTGTAGGGCCTCAGGTCAGGAAACCGTTTTTCCAGCTCATTCCAGTGGGGCAGTGACTTACTCATCTGCTGTAATTTCAGAATCTCCCACTTCTCCTTTTCAGTCACTGGTTCTGCCTAAGGGCATGTTACAGGGATGAAAATGTGCAACTTTAGCTCGTGCATTAGAAAGTACTTGGTCTGGTCAAAGGACAAATTTTATCTTATTGTGTGTTTGTGAAATACGGAGAAAAGTCAAATGCATTATATTTAGCATTATGGTTATAGTTTCAAAAATTGTATATAAGGCTTTTCTTCATTTATGTATGCAAATATGGGTTGGAATCATTTCAGAAGAATCTGAAACGTGTCACTCAGAAGCAAGTGATACACACAGAGATATTCACTGGCTGTGATGCAACCAAAACTGTACTGGGACAACTGCCTGCTGCCAGGTCAAAATGTTAGTGTCAAATAACTTACTAAATACTGGACAGTCGTTATTTTATCAGATTTATGATGACTGCTGTACCTGTGAATAAACTTAGAGTTCTAGGCTAAACCTTTATAATCGAGCATCAGTGTCCTTTTAATGCGTTTTTTCTTGACACGGTTATTTTACAAATCTTTTTAGAAATTTTTTAAACTGGAATTTTTTTAGTTCTTGGAGGATAATGTTTTTGATGTCCTATAATGGCAAGGAGAGGTATTGGCAGCCTTTTTCATGGCATTTCTGTTCTACTGGTGCTCTGGAACTCCTTGTGCTTGTGAGCATCAATATGCTTTGCTGAATTAATTTAATGAAGAGTATCAGAGGTGAAGTTTTTACTAATAGCATGTGCGTGTTTACACACAGGTGTGTATTGCCCAATCTGAAAGCTAAAGCTAGTGGATATTGAATTGTAGGGTTTTAATGTGGGAACCATGAACAGACTTGGCCTTGGTGAAGGCTGCAGGAAAGTAAACTGGAATCCCATGGAAATATCTGTGGAAAACTCGATCTTGCCCCAGCGCTGGAGATGTTTACAGGGTGGTGTTCTGCTTCCTGACTCGCCCCCCACCACACTCCATAGCTGAAGTGGCTTTTGAACAGGCTGTCATACCAAAACCTTTATATAGGATATTACAAGAGGTTGACCGTTCCTCTGCTACAGGGAATAGAAGCGTATGGAAGAGGCAAGTGTGTTTTTATCACTTTTTCTCTGTAAAGCTTTTGTTCTGATACAGAATACTTACTGCTTTGTTTAGTGGCTATTATCACAGTTGTTGGTATTGGAACAGATCAGGCCTCTTAGAGCGACTTACCCAATTCCAGGGAGCTGCAGTTCAGGGACATTTTGAAAGCAGCCTCAGCATGTTAACACTTGCATGCTGAGCTGTTGAAGAGGAGGTAAGGCCCCAGTTGTCTAACTTTTGCAAGACCTTTTTCTGTTTCACCTGTTGTGGAGCAAAAGGTGACTTCAGTTACAGGACAACTCCTCCTTTTCCTAATCTGTATTCAAGCGTATGAAAACTATTGTAAGACCTGGCAACAATAAATTAAACTCAAAATTCTTTTTTTATCCCAGAGTGAGTCCTTATTTCTAAACAAACTTTGCAATAAAGTCGGAATATATCACAAACCACATGAAAGTCAATGTGAAGCATTTGTTGGCTGTCTTCAAAGCACCTTTGCAGAGCTTACAAACTCAGTTCAAATCATGAAAGCGTTAAGTAAATGAGAAAATTTGCATCACTCCAGTAGGTAAAAATGTAGAGAAATGGCTTTCACAGCCTGTCTTTCCAAATGGATGGTGGGGGTAGTGAAAAGAGAATTCCCTCCACTTCTGAAAATAAACCACTCCATCAGTCTGTGTTTGCCCATTGTGGATCTCATTGTGAATAGGTTCATGTGTGGGAATGAGCGAGATACTGATGCCAAGTGCTTTGTAATGGTTCATGTACAACACTTGCCTGCTGCAGGAAGCCATCAGAGTAGTCCCTGATTTGGTTCATGTGCCAGTAAGTGCTAAAAAAAAAATTCCTGCTCCTTTGTAATAACATCTTAGTCTGTTCCATCTACCTCTTTTGTTATCATTGTTAGTCAATCAAGCTTCACTTACTAAGAAAACAAGTAAAAGCAGGGTTTTTCCACTTCTGATGAAGCACTGTTCTTGATAGTGAAGATGTAATAAGAAAAATTTAAGGAGTTGCTCCTGAACATAATGCTACTGAACAGCTTGGAACTTCTGATAAGGCTTTCATTCATGGCTTCTGGTATGCAAGCGTGCTTCAGAAAAACTCACTGCAGAAGCTGAGGAGACATTAATGGGATTTCTGGCACCGTTTATTGAAGTGTAGGATACATTTGTTGGTGAAATTGTTAACAGTGACATTTTCCCAACAGCTTTCAGAAATACAAGTTTAATACATACAAATATTGCACATGTGTGTGTATGTGTGTGCTCTTTCACTGTTAGGGTGCTGCATGATCAACGTAGTCATGCAGTACTTTTCAAACCTTTGAGGTAGCTGGAACAGAGCTGAACAGGGTTTTTTGGGTAGAAGTAGATTGCCCAGGCTTCGAAAATAAAGTGAAATCAAGTTGTTAATTCAAAAATGGTGTACTGTACTATTATTATATTGTTTGGAGGCAGAGAGGAGGCTATAGGAAAGCATTACTAACCAGAGTCTCCTGCAAATGTCAGGAACAAAACTGGATCAGTTGCTAGAAAACATTGTCTACCATTAGAAATTTCCTGTGATTGCTCAGGTTTTCCTGAGCATTCTTTGAAAAGACACCTGCAGTAGTGATCTGTTTGAGGAAATTGTGTTCTGTCCTGTTCTGTGTGGAGTGTAGCTTGTGTTGTGATGTGTTGGTGCCATTAGAAAATTTGGAACTCAATTCAGATTTGTTTGTGCTGTGTTTTCATGGAACAACTTCACACCTCCATTTAATTTGGAGAATAAACAATCCTTTTATTAAAATTTAAATGTAAAAATTTCTGGAGATAATTCAGACAAGAAACTATTTTATTACACTTTGCCTAGGCTGACTAGAAGGTGATATTACAGAAAATCTGCATGACTGTACTTAAACAATGTACACACAGTTACCACTTCAAAAACGAGTTGTACAGCTTTGTTATCACTAAGGATCATTTGAGGAGGAGGTGTTTGTAGATGGGAGGAAGTTGCTCAAGCGCTGCTGGTGAAGATTGCTGTTGTCTAGCAACAGTCATTGTCACCACAGGTGGACAGTTTGTTACCAAGTGAGACACTCGGTGTAGTAAGTTTTTTTTCTTGATTGCTTTTCTTTAGTAATGGAAAGATGATGTTGTAGGTCACCATGTGTTACTTTAGGTACTGTAAAGCTTGTGGAATACTTGGAACGAACACAACTGGCATGTAATCAGGTGTATGCTTGGAGGGAGAGGATCCCTCCCAACATATCCTGAAATCAGTTTCTTCACACAAGGGATAGAAATGCATCCCTTGATGTAACTAATGGAGTAAAGGTCTGACTAAGCAGTGTGGTCTGTGGAGACATAAAGATGAATCACTTACCTCCTTTGTTTGAATGTTAATTATTGTTAGGGCCTTTTGATGCGTACTCTCAATAAATTGCATGGAGTTTATGATATCATGTGGAGCTCTACACTTCACAGGATGCCCATTTTACATCAGTGAGCAGTAGTAATGATGATATCACACTGTTAAGAGCAGAACTGCTCAACATAGGTGCTCGTGTTCTTATAGAGGACAGAGAGCATGGCAGTCCCTAGGACTGCTAAGAGTACCAGCTAAATTACCTCAGTGTTTTTGCCACTCTGTGTGAGGCTCTGAGTATAAGGTAGCAGGAGTAGGCTGTGTCTGTGTCTATGAAGCCTGGCAAGAGTGCTCCCAGAGCAGCACCTTTGCTAGGTGTAGTAGTATTCGGTGTTGGGGTGAGCACTGCTACCTCTCCAGTTAAGTGGGTTGTTCCCAGAAGCTTAATATGCTTTTGAGCAGTTTATTCTGACAGCTTTGAGGAAATATCTGAAACATTTTTTTTTTTAGGCTTAAAGAGAAAAAAAAAAAATTATATGTAGTTATGTTTTGAACAAAGCTGCTCTGAGAGTTTTTACTGTTGTAAAAAGAAATCAATGAAAATAAAGATAGATAGCTTTACTGTTATTGCTGGTATTGTGCTTTCTGTCTCTCTGATATTATGTGTGTCTTTTGGTGACTCCTGTTGGCAGCTGCACTGTGGCTAGAGATCTCTTTGGGTAAGGAGTTGTTATGTTTTTTTAATCTGTTCTATCAAATGAAGGGACATTCTCCTAGGCCATTGTCCTCAAACCCAGCAGTTCCTGTGGTGCAATATACTGCAGAGTGGCAGAGACTTTTCAAGACCCATGTAATGAGCGCTGAATTTCTTGTTCTTGTCTTGCTTAGCTCAGCAAATATTACAGTACACTCAAGCTGTGCCAATTTCCCAGTCTAAGGCTCTTAGAATATCAGGGGGTTTGTTCTTATTTCCTTCCTGTGGCATCATTCTGTTTGTGTGGAGACAGAACAGATGAAAAGTATATTTTGTTTTCTTGGCCATCTTTTATCCTCTGACTCAGGCTTATTCTAGTGTAATGGTTTGATTTCCCCTGTAGAGGTGAAGGTACCTTGCATCCTCTTGCCTTCTGAGTTACCCATGAACAAACACACACATTTGCCTTGAAAATTGTCCAGTAGGTCTTACAAATATGGGAACTTCAGTGGTTTTGATGTCAGGATTGAAAATCCCATGATTCATGTTTTTTTGAGGCGTCAGTAATTTTGAGGTCACATTACCTTACATTAAAATAAAATTATTGTTCTCAATTTACCTTTTGGTATGTAAGGATTTAGATTTACATTGTCAGTTCTTATTTCCTGAGTTCCTTTTGCTGATGAAAGCTAAACTGTAATTCTGGTCACTCAAAATACAAACTACTGTGAGCTTGTTTCCAAACCTTTTGATTTTTATGCAGTGTGGATTCTTGGATAAATTTTAGTGTGGAGACTATTTAAGTGAAAAAATCAGATTTTAGGTAATTCTGTATCGCACTTGTCAGACTGTTTTTCTTGTCAGTGATATGCTGCTCACAGAGGTTTGATCTTGGAGCAGGAAACGGAGCTGTGTGACTCACATTAGAGTCTTGCTCTGAAGTCATTGGCAGTCTCATCCTTTGTTTCAGTATGCTCTGTCCAAGTGAGAAGTGAGAAGAAAACTCAGGATACAACACAGTTCTGCTTTCTGCTCTGAGTCTCCTCCCAGGGGTAGCTGAGGAGTAGAGTGGATAAAACTGAGCAAAGAACTTCAGAAGGTTTAAAACTTGTCAGGTGCTTTGTACTTTCCCATTTTACAAACCAACCAGTGGAGGTTGAGGCTGCTGAGATGGCCCCTTTCAAACCCCCTGCGTCAGCCTTTCCGAAGGGAGCGAGTTGTCTCAGGCCTGAGTTAATCCTCTCTCTAGAGAGTTCAGGGAATTGAGTTGCCACTATTATGACTTTTTCTTTTCCTGTTTATGCAGATCCTGTACTCCAGGTGCCAATACATGTGGAAGAGTAAGTCTGTTTCTTTATCTCATTTACTGCTTGTTCAGCTTTCACAGATGTCTTGAAACTTGGTTTAATTTGAACCAAGACAATCTGTGGTCTAGAAAAGTTGCATGCCTTATATAAGTCTGTTTAAGGTGGTTTAAGGAGCAGATCAGAAAGGATATAATTAGCTACATAAAATTCTCTTACTTCTAGCACTAAGAAGCATCACCCTGTCTGCAGAGTGTGCTCTCAAGCCCTTGCTCAGGTTTAGAGACAAGGGTGCCAGCTGTGCTGCAGTTGTAACTGAGCAGCTCTGAGAGTGTCGGGAGCGGGACGTGATCTCAGGGGGCTCTACTTGTGCTCCTCAAACAAAAGACTAAAAATAGTGAAGCACGGGAAACCCCAACCACCAGCCCTACCAGAGTCTTCAAATAAAACCCTCAAACTGTTACTTTAGAGTAGTTCCTCCAGTGTAGCAAGCTCACATTTAACTAGAAAATTTGGGGCTTCAACTTTGTCTCTAGAGTCAGGGTTAACATCCTTTCTTTTTTCTGGTTTGTTTTTGATGTTGGGGTTTGGTTGGGTTTTTCTGAAGTTTGGGTGAGAGGGTTGCCTTTACCTCTCAAATTTACTTAGTCCTGGCAACCCTTCTATTGTTGCTTGCCTTCCTTATGCTCTCTGGTTTTGTTTGGATTGTTTTTAATTCTGTGGCATTTTAAAAGCGTATAGATCTTGTTTAAAAGCTTTCACCCAAGTGATTGCCTGCCACATTTGGATCTTTGAATTTTCAAATGCATTGGTAATCTTATAATGTATCAGTTCTGAATCTTCTTTTTCTTTTTTTTTCATTGTCCCATGAATGAAACTTCAAAAAATGGATAACACGAAGTCAAAAATCCAATGTCTGATAAACTTCCCTGTTGAGCCAATGCTGGCCATAGTCTCTTTCTGTTCTCTCAGCAGCACAGTACATTTTTTACCATTCATAATTGCTGCTTAAATTCTAGGCCAGCATTTCTTCCAGACCCAAATGATGGCAGCTTGTATACGCTGGGTGGCAAGAATAATGAAGGCTTGACTGTGAGTATATTTTAAAAATTCTCTTCTCTGATAATTTTTAGAAAAGTGCCTTAACCAGGACTCATTCTTCTTGTGAGTCTAAGGGGAACTTTCGGCTTTCCTGACAATACTGCAAAGTTCTGCAGACTTTTCTCCTGTTCAATGGAAGTGTACGAGCTTCTTGGAAAAATTTGATCAGACTACCAAAAACCAGCCAATGTTTTGTCCACTTGTGCAGTTTTTCTGTAACTTGCTAAAATAATGATGAGGACAAATAAAATCTATGTTGCATTATCCAAATACTGAATAATCTCTACACAATTTGATGAGAAAGGGATGTCCAGAGTAATGCAAATTTGATATGTCACTTTCACCCAAATACTTCATTTTCTAAAACCATCTGCCAGAAGGCCAGATCAGTATGTGCTCTGTGCTGGCATCATTAGAAGCTGGCTTTATAAGGTTTTGTAAGCAGACAAAAATGCTGAACTCTTCCAGAGTCACCAATCCATGTAACCCACATATACCAGATAACACTTGACTTTTATTTTTTGAGCCTTGTGGTGATACTCTGCTAAATGTTTTGCTTCCCTCAAGTTTCTTTTCTCTGGCAGCTGCTATGATTTCCCCTAAGCACTTTAATGTTGTTAAACATTTTAGCATTTGCTCACCACCCCCTCTATCCCCGCAGTTCAGCCAGATCATAACTTGCAAAATGACTCTGGGTTCTCTTCCTGGGTGAATCCAGGAAGCAGTGATCTATGTGAATCTATTAATTTACTCTGCTTATTTAATCTCTTTTTGAATTAAAGTCATTTCATTTTTGTTTAGAATCACAGTTACAAAAGTTTTAAGCAAGGATGGAGTCATTTTAGCATGTTGAAATGAACTTAGCAAAGGCCTGATCTGTATTGTTAGGGCCGCTTGCTCGTTGCTCCTGTGCCCTCACCCCAATAGAGCTGGTAAGGCTGGTCGCCCATTGTGTGAGCGCAGTGTAGGCCTGGCAGTGTCTCAGGAACTCTGCTGTGGGAGAGTCATGCTTCACCCTCCCACCAGCTTCATTTGTGCAAAGGTACCTGGCCTTCACAAATGTTCCTGTACAGTCCTGTGGAGAATCATTTTATACTCGCTATTGGTGAGGCAATTAAACCACGGCATGCTGAAGCACAGATGGTTTATAAGTGATGATGGTAGACTTTAAAACCACAGAGTCTTGGCCTCCAGGCCTCTCACCTGCAAGTAGTTCTTGCATCCTGCAGGCACTTTTCCTGCTGTGAACTCTGTGAGACAGACTGCTCTGGGTTCTGGGTTTGCAGAGGAAATTTTGAGTTCTCAGGGACTGCAGTAATACAAACAAAGAATAAAAAAGTGTCATTTGAAATTTCTTCCGTTTTCTTACCACCTTTTTCTGTGAACAAATGTGAAGACTTATCACACCAATTTGAATAAGCTTTTATTGTTGTTTTGTTTGTTTGTTTCCCTCCCTTAGAAACTTCCCTTTACTATCCCAGAGCTGGTGCAGGCATCTCCCTGTCGCAGTTCAGATGGGATCCTCTACATGGGTGAGCTCAAATGTTCTCTTTTAGATTGGTTGTAAGATGTTCAGCAACTACAACATATAGAGACTGGCAGACAGACTCCATGGGAATAGGCCTTATTTTGGGTATTGACTGTGGGTTTTCATTAACCTTTCTGATGACAGAAAAACCTGATTAATATAACTGCCTTCCCGTAACTGACGGGAACCCATAGGAAGGCTGCAGAGGGACTTTACACCAGAGTGTCCAACAGGACTAGTGGAAATAATTTTAAACTGAAGGAGAGTAGGTTTAGACCAGATCTTAGGAAGAAGAACAGTTATTATTTATCACAACAGTAAAATGTGTGATCAGGGTGAACTTAGGATTGTTTTTTTTATCTCCTGAAGGGCCAGTACCTCTGTCTGGTTCACCACTTTGTGTCTCCAGTAGTGAAGAATGTTTATTTGAAGCTTCTAAACAGAACACATATGTCTTAGCATCAAAGAAATATGTAAGGCTGTGGTTCTTGTAGTCTTGAGTGGGATGCTAGGATTACAGTCCTTAAAAAATTTGAAATGTGTAGACCCTCATAATTTTTCTCCACCTCTCCTGTCCTTCAACATCAGCACTTCAGTCTCTTCTGCTAGCTCACAGGATCCCCTAGACTCAGAACACTTGGATTTTATCAGTGTGAGAAAATAATTTAGCCAATAGTGCTTAGAGTTCCAAATACTGTATTTAGGTTTTCTGTGTTGCTATTTGGGATGGGTCAGTAGTGCAAAATGATGAAACTAAGCCTGCCTATGAGAAATAATTTTATTAAAAATGCTTTATTCATAGTAAGTTCATGACCCTACTGAAATAAAAAGAAGACTGAAAAGCTTGATGGAAATGCATTTTTTCTAACTTCTTGGTAATGTGGCTAAAATTATGATTTCAGGTAAAAAACAGGATATTTGGTACGTGGTCGACCTCATGACTGGGGAGAAACAGCAAACCTTGACTTCTTCATTTGCAGAAAGTCTTTGCCCGTCAACATCCCTCCTGTATCTTGGGAGAACAGGTCATATGCTTTTTTTTTTCTGCAGCTTTGAAGAAAATTATTTGTTGTTGTTGTTTTTAAAGTTTAGCCTCATAAAAAATGTGTGATCAATTCAGGTGTTCAAGTTTTTTCCTTAGAAAAACTTCTGTACATTATGATTTTAGTTTGTATGTACTGAGAATTATTATTAACTCTTCCTAGCAGCAGGAAGATACTATTTTCAATATTTTGGCAGTAGGCATGGCCCATTATTATTACTCTTGTTGACTAAGTGGCATCTACGGTCTATTAGCAGCTGCAAACCCAAGTTTGCTCTGTATCATACAGCTTTTATGAAAACTCTTTAAAGCAAATTGAGGAGCAGTGTATCCACTGAAATGACAGGTGTGGTGTTCTAAAGAACTGTTCAAATTAGACCAATACCATACATGCATTGACTAGCAAAAAGGAGTGAATGCTGTAGGCTTGGACTTTAACCTCTGTATGAATGTGTTCTTTAAGTGTGATAGTTCATTTCCAGAATACGTTACGCTAAGTTTTAGAATGCAGGGTTTGGAAACCTGTAATTAAAACAGAAGCTATCAGAAGGAGCTGTGCAGAAGAGCCAGATGCTGGTAATGTGGGTGGTGACTGTCAGTGGGGCTTGTCCCGAGGTCCTGGTGCTCGCTGTGTGAGTGGGTCAGGTGCTGTCTGTAGCAACTGTGAAATGTGTATTTATCAGGAGCGTTGGGGACGTGAAATGCAGAGAGCAGTAACTGGTGTGTGTGGTGTTCTGAAGAGTGTCTCAGATTTGAGATGATTGATTCTATTCTCTCATAGGTGTTTTTGCTTCACAGACTGTATATTTTTTAACAGAGTACACGATCACAATGTATGACACCAAGAAGAAGGAGGTGAGATGGAATGCCACCTATTTTGATTATGCAGCTACTCTGCCTGATAAAGACATAAAATACAGTAAGAATTTAATTGCTCTTGTCTTTCTTGGTGGTTTTTTTTTTTTTTTTTCCCCCCCGCATATTGGTGGTGGGTTTTGCTTACAGGCAAAATTAGATCTGATTTTATTTTATAATCAATAGGGCAAGGTGTCTGTCTGATTTTTTGTACAATTGTGCATCTGCCAGTTTTTATCCTTTACCCACTATAATATCTAGAGCCTCAGGTAAATTGAATCTAAGAAGTTATATCTCTTAAAGAGATGACCCTTTAAAAATTTAGGGAAAAATGACAGGAGAGAAAGCAACCCTAAGCTATGGTTCACACTGGGAGAAAGCTGCTGCAATGCTGTTGCTTTGCAGCTGAACTTTATCAACCTAATTCTGAGAAGTGACTCTCCTTTCTTCTCCCAAAGCTCTTCTTTGGCAGCATAAGGTGTAATGGGCTCCAGGGTGAACGTAAGGCTTCAACTGTTAACCTGTGTTATTAAAATTGGATCTCTGCGTCAATGCAGATAACCCCCTCTCCTCTGTATTTGTGTCCTGTAGAAATGTCCCACTTCGTGTCCAACGGCGACGGGCTGGTGGTGACGGTGGACAGCGAGTCTGGGGACGTGCTGTGGATCCAGAATTACGCCTCTCCTGTGGTGGCGTTTTACATCTGGCAGCGCGAGGGGCTGCGCAAGGTGATGCACACCAACGTGGGCATCGAAACGCTGCGGTACCTGACCTTCATGTCTGGGGAGGTTGGACACATCACCAAGTGGAAATACCCTTTCCCAAAGGAAACGGAGACCAAGAGCAAACTGACGTGAGCACCAATATTCCTGTTGTTCTCACTGTCTACTGGACAGAGTTTTGTCACTAAAACCTTAATTATACACATTCAGTTAAGGATTGTGCTGCAAGTTTCAGTACGGTGGAAAGAATACAAAAAACAGCTCTAGCTCTCTAGCTGTTATTTTGATCTTAGTTGATACCACATTTGATCTTCTACTGTATAAAGACAGAGGAAAAAAAAAATAGTCATAAATTTAGGAAATGTATATTCCTAACTTTCATCAGACGTTCTGGGTTGAATAATGTGAAATGGAATTGGTTTTTATAATGTGAAGCCTTTCACATTGTGAAAAAGGTGCACAGCAGTTTGGCAGTTACCAGTTACTGAACAGTGCAGAAACAGGATGTGAGTTACGTCAAATGAGTAATGGTGACGTGAATAATCAACAAATAATGCTTCCACAATGAAGAAGAATGGCTTCATAGTACAGCAGTACTTAAAACAGTTTTACAGATCCAAGTTTTTCAAGATACAATTATTAATAATTTGAGAAACTTGTGCATTAGTTCTGCAGATTGTGTTACCAGGGTTTTAGTGAAGATAGTATAAGATCCGTTTGTCTGCTTGTTTCTAACACTTCATTGTCTTTTTGCAGACCAACCCTGTATGTGGGGAAATACTCCACGAGTTTGTATGCGTCGCCATCGATGGTGCACGAAGGAGTAACTGTTGTGGTAAGTGGGGAGCTGCAAGAGTTGAACGACACCTGCTGAAAAGTGCCTTTACAGAATTAGTAATGCCCTGGTTTGAAAAGAAGTTGAAATGGAAATCTACATAAAAATATAGATAGAAAAGACGACTTTGGCACAGTAAAGCAACAAAAGGATTTGGTTAATGTAGAAAATAACACACCAAAGGCGGCTGTTCTACAGAAATTTAGTGTTAAACTGCAGGTGGCTATCAGGAATTGCATAGCAAATTAAATCATGAAGCAATTAACCACAAGGCTTAGAATGCATGACCGTATTTCAGGAACCATTTGAATGGTGCAGAGAAGTAACTGTAGCTCATGAGGAGCTGTGCCAGGCACAACGAGCAGGAGTGGAGCAGAGGTTGCTCCGTGGTGTTGCTGGTGTGTTGTGCTCCATGTTAAAATCGCTGGTTTGTTCATCAGAGTAACTTCCTATAGATAGGAAATTGCATCATGGTTTTGTTTTGCTCATGCTGTGGCTGTCCAGGTAGGAAATAAAGATCCTGTTTGACTGCTCTAAAAAAAGAGACAGTAATCTCCTCTGCTAGGCAACGTGTAACTTAGAAGGTCTAATGTCCAAGGTTGTTGAAGCAGTAGCTGAGGGCCTAATGGCAGTGTTTACATACCGGGACTTTGCTGCCAGGGATTCTTGTTTGCCCACCAATTTTGTCCTCCGTTGTTTTATTTAGCTGCCTATTTAAATATTTTAGGGACACAGCATGTCCTTAGTTGTAATAAGAGGGTCTCTTCCTAGCCCCGCGGCAGTGCCATACCCTTACTGGAGGGCCCCAAGACAGAAGGAGTCACGATTGAGGACAACGGCGAGTGTGTGATCACCCCCAGTACGGACGTGAAGCTTTCAGGCAGACTGAAAGGGAAGAACAAACTCAATTACTGGAACGACTGGCTTTTAATAGGTATTTTGCCTTGCTGCCTGGAGGGCACTTCCCATCCACACCTCAGAGCAGTTGTTCAGCTGCCCTGAATCAGTCACCCCAGCAGTTACAGAATTCTAGTAATCGTTGCTAATTTGTCCTCGTTTGCATATGAATTAATGTCTTTAAGTATATGACTGCATCCTGTTCCCAGGGCCTCTGCTTAATTCAGTGCCTAGCTTGATATGTGAAAGTAGTTTAGTGTTTATTTGCCCCCTCCTTCAGAGAGGGGTAGAGATAATTTATTATTCACTGGAAATAGTCTGTTCTGGTTTCTCTGTGGGGTTTTATTGTGGATAATGTTCCTTTAATTCTCATCCTATGGATCAGAGGGTCATGGTTTCCCCATTTTGCAAATGGAGGATTAGGGCACAGAAGCTGAAGATGATAAAGTGTCAGCCTGTCCTGTGTGTCCCAGATCCAAGAATACTGGAATTGACTTTTCAAGGCATTTATGATTTTGCTTCAAAAATGAAGAACTGTCTGAAGTTCAGTTTGTAGTGATGGAAGTTTATAATGAAGTGATAGATGCCACAGGGTCTCTGGCAGAGAGCAGGGAGCAGGGGTAGCTTTCAGCTGCTTTAACTGCTGCCTTTCTCTGCCTGGGGTCCCCTTTGTTGGCACTGTCCTGCTCTTGCAGTACATCAAGCAGCTCCCTTTAAAAACTTAATATTTTAATTCAGCGAATGTGTTTTATTTAAAGGGCACCATGAAACACCATTATCTGCCCCTACAAAGATGCTGGAGAAATTCCCAAGCAACCTACCTAAGAGGCCTGAAAATGTGATTCCGGCTGACTCTGATAAAGCCACTATTGAAGAGGTTTGTGAAGAGAATCAGCAACTTACTGGATTATAGAGGAATGTAAAGGAGAAGGAGTGGGGGAAGGACTTGGAAGGGAATCCTCATGGAATTAATTCACATTTTTTGTGTCAGATTTTCATGTATTTAGCATGCAGAATCACTGGTATGACAATGTTATTTCAGAATGAGAGATTTCAGCAGTATTTTTTTTCCACATGTTAAAACTCTTTGATTTCGGTAGGGTTGGAAATGATTAAAAATGATACAGCAGAAAGGCTAGCGTGTAAGTGCTCCGTTAGCCATGAAGGTGCTGAGCTAACAGAACTTTCTTTGCCTCTTAGGTCATTGATATTGTTGAAGGTTCTTCAACAGAAGTGCCTCCTGCTGTTCCAAAGGATATTGAGGAGAAACTTGCTCACCCTGTCTTTCGTCCAGAGGCTCCTGTGGACTCCATGTTGAAAGACATGGCCACCATCATTCTCAGCACCTTCCTGCTTGTGGGCTGGGTGGCTTTTATCATCACCTATCCCATGGTAACGCTGATTTGGCTTGACCTGCTTTTGAGAGACTTTCTTGGAGAGTCAGGAACATTTTACAGCTCAAGAAAGGACACGGGTTGGGAAGTAACGCACTGCAGGGCTTTTCTTTCCTTCCTCAGAGGTGCACAGTGGGGAGCAGAGGCTACAGCTGGGACACGACAGTGATTTCTCTGGGCATATGTGCCAGCTTCAGAGGGTTGGGGTTTTTTTTTATCCCATCAGCTCTGGGGTTTGTATGTGTTTCTTTTATCACAGACATGATCTGAACACCTTGGCTTTACTCCTTTCTTCCTCACCTGAACTGTTGTCAGGTGGTCCAGGTTTTGGATCAAAGACTTTATACTTCTGTGGTTTAAATTCAGCCAGTCACAGTAACCTAGTAACAGCTTTTGCCATATTCACCACCAGTGCCATTTCTCAGCTTTGTGATGGAAGTTCAGAATGAAGTGGAAAGCGTGTGAGGGAAAGTTCCCCAGCCTACCTGGTGCTAGTGTCCTAAGGAGAGAGTTTGCCTCCTGCCTTTTGGATATTGCTACCCCAGTAGCTGTAGAGTTTCCTTTTGTGACGTGACTGTAAAAACTTACTCCACTTACAGAACTGGGGTCCTTTCTCACAGAGCGTGCACCAGCAGCAACAGAGGCAGCATCAGCTGGAAGAGAAGATACAGCTCTTGCAGCAGCAGAAGCTGCCCTTCCATGCTCCCAGTGATGTACCCGCAGAGGCGGATTTCATGGACACCTCCTGTGGGCGGACGGAGAGCTCAGCTACCAGCACACCAAACATGTCCCCCCGAGCATCCAACCATTCTGCATACTCCAGCATCTCCACATCTGACGTTGGGAGCTGTCTCTCCACTGAGCAAGAAGAGAGGGGTAAAGTTGATTTGCACTCTTGTCCCTTCAAAGGCTATTTGGGGGAGCTGCTGTAAACCCGCTTGTGTAACTGCCCATCAGCATTTCTGAAATTTGGCCAGACAGCTGTGATGCTTTCTGGGAGTGTGCTGAGACCCACTAGTCTCTTCCACTGTCCTGAGACGTGATCTCTCCAGACCAGGTGCTGCATACAGAGTGTGTTTGACTCAGCTTGTTGGATTATTTGCTGACCATACATCTGAGCACCAAAATGGAGACATTCATTTGTGTGGTTAATTATCTGTTGTTTTCATTTAAATATGAGCAAAGAGACTTTTACATACCAGCCCAGAAGGATGTGCTGATGTGAAAGGCTGACTTGACCCATCCTAAACAAGTCCTTGTTTCCTGTGTTTTGTTCAGATGAAGATGTGAGCAGAGTGATGGTTGGCAAGATTTCATTTAACCCAAAAGATGTACTGGGACACGGAGCTGAAGGGACAATTGTTTACAGGTAGAAGACAACACGTGCATTCAGCATTAAATAGGCCAATGAATGTCTTATTTGTATTACATCTCTTTTTTTTTAATAAACCCCCCACATATCTAATATGAACAGAAGTGAAACTTTCGAAAAAGTATTTTGCATGTATTTGGAATATTTTAATATTTTCACGCAGTGTCTCTTCACCAGGAAAAACTCCCTCACTCTCCTTAGAAACGTTTAATGGCATTTCAGTGGTGTCTGTTTCCAGCGTGAGAAGCTCTTCACTGTGCCTCTGTTAATGTCCTGCTGTCACTTGCTGTGGCTGCAGCGTTCAGGAGGCTGAAGTGTTTCCTTCCTGCCTGCAGGGGGACGTTCGATAACCGCGATGTGGCAGTGAAGAGGATTCTCCCCGAGTGCTTCAGCTTCGCCGACCGGGAGGTGCAGCTGCTGCGGGAGTCGGACGAGCACCCAAACGTGATCCGCTACTTCTGCACGGAGAGGGACCGGCAGTTCCAGTACATCGCCATCGAGCTCTGCGCTGCCACGCTGCAGGAGGTGACGGGACGCTCTGCAGCACCTACAGAGTTTGTGGAAGTCTTCCCCTGGAAGGACTTCAGTTCCCTGTAGCTCCTGTTGCCGTACTGCCTGCTGCAGGACGTGCTGTCGTTACTCCATCATCGCCCCAACGTGTGACAATTACACACTGCTACAACAGGGGTGTTTTCTGACCTTTAGAAAGAATCCCTAGCCCTGGACTGATTTAAGGACAGAAGCTGTTGTCCTCTGATTTCCCCTCCTGTGAAGGACGCCCTTCTAGTCACCCTCCCACTCCTACTGTGTGGGCTGTGAACACTCTACTCTTGCCTCTACAGCATAGCGCTATGTAGAACATTTCAGAGGTTATCTCCTTCCACCAAAAAAAACCCCAAACAGGCTTTTTTATGGGTGTTACCCACTAGCATTTACCCGCAATTTACCCAGGCTAAACTTTTAGGTTTTGGGGGGGTGGGGTGTGTGTGAAGGGGATAGACTCACTATCTAAGCAGAGGGTAATTGAGAAGCAAAGTTGCAGCTGAGTATTCTGTTCTTCTGTTGTAATTTGCAGTATGTTGAGCAGAAGGCCTTCAGTCAGCACGGCTTGCAGCCCATCGCTCTGCTGCAACAGACGACATCTGGTCTTGCCTACCTGCACTCCCTCAGTATTGGTAAGAATGCCTCTTGTTTCAGTGCTGCATGGAGAGTGGTACATCTTCTTAACTGAAAAAAAACAAGAGAAACTGGTCTGGTGCTGGGAGCTTGTGTATTTGGTCGAGAGTCGTAGAAGCTCCACCTCATGCTGGCAGCCACAGTGTCTGTCCTTGGACACCTGTAACACTGCTGCACTGGAGCAGTAGACAGGCATTGCCATTTGTTCAGGGCAATGCTTTTCTTTTTATATACATTATATAAAAGACGATGACTAAAGGTGATGGAATAAAAAAAGTGGTGAACCTCTACCGAAGACAGTATTTTGAGGTTAGGGCTTTGGTGGTTCAACCTTGTCAAAGGTTTACAATGCAAATACATTAAAAATCTGCAAATCTCACAGAGATTGCCCAGAGTGGATAAATGGGTGTTTACAACAGTCCACAGGGACCTGAAGCCCCATAACATCCTCATCTCGATGCCCAACGCCCACGGGAAGGTCAAAGCCATGATCTCAGACTTCGGCCTGTGCAAGAAGCTGGCAGTGGGCCGGCACAGCTTCAGCCGCCGCTCGGGGGTGCCGGGCACCGAGGGCTGGATTGCCCCGGAGATGCTGAGTGAAGACTGCAAAGAGAACCCCGTAAGTCTCCCGCGGGCGCTGGGAGGGGCAGCACGGTGCTGCAGCCAGGCCCTGGGAGCCGCAGGCCCTGCTGCCTCGGCTTTCACGCTGGCTTGCAGCTGAATGGGTCGTTCTGAAGTTTCCTTCTCCTCTTAGATGCAAAGTAAGCGCATGATCGAAGTCTTCAGGGGGCAAACAAAGTGGGTTACAGCTATTGAAGGTTGTTTGTTTGCAGACATACACCGTGGACATCTTTTCAGCTGGCTGTGTCTTCTACTACGTGGTCTCCGAAGGCAGCCATCCCTTCGGCAAGTCCCTCCAGCGGCAAGCCAACATCCTGCTGGGTGCATACAGCCTGGAGTCCCTCAGTGCTGGGCGGCACGGTAAGAACAGCACGGCAGCCGCCGCGCCCCACCGCGAGTCAGCTTCCCGGGGGCGTTACGAGGCCAGCAGAGATGACAGAACTAGGACCCACGGGGAGTCCCAGCCTGGCAGTGCTGAAAGCTGTACTCCTAACGTACAGCACCCCCAGTTCTTAGCACCCCAGAGCAGCGCTGGGAACCCTGCAAGCTTGACTGTAGACTTATTTCATCTATTTAAAGGGTAGGAAAGACCTGAACTTTCTCCATCATCACTCAACACGACTAACTTTCTGTTGGTTGCCCAGCGTATCTGTGCCGGTGGCACTTGAACTAGTGGGGTAATGTTCAGGATCGTGTTGGAGGCAGTAGAGAACATAATGATTTTCTAAAGTACAAAACATTAGATTTCACTACAGCCTAAGAATTATCACCCTTTTCCTTGCAGAAGACATAGTTGCTCGTGATTTAATAGAGCAAATGATAAACATGGACCCTCAGAAACGTCCATCTGCCAGCTGTGTGCTAAAACATCCATTCTTTTGGAGTTTAGAAAAACAGCTCCAGTTTTTTCAGGTTTGTGTTGACATTTTCTATCCTTTCAGTTCTGAGGGCTCCTTGTAGCCATGCTGCAACTCTTGAATTTAGTCTCTCCTAGTCGTGTGGATGTTTGCAGTGTCAGAATCCACAGCCTTACTGTGGGGAGTGAAGAAGCAAAGTTGTAATACCTGGGTGGTGTCTCAGGGAGTAGGCTTAGTCTTACAGGGGAGCTAGTGTGATGTTACCGATCTACATTGGAATGAGGAAGGTCTCTCACAGCTACAGCAGCAATGCAGGAGAAGATGGTGCCAGGCAGGCTCTCGGTGACTGTGCAGACTTAATCCTGACATGGGCTGGGACCTGGCTGAAGTTCATTTCAGCCTCATCTTCTACTCTGTGATAAAGACTTTGGCATGTTTTCTTAGCCTCTCAGAAACTTCTGTGTCCCAGGCCCAAGCATCATCTGCTGCGTTGCACTTGGTCACGGAGCGTGGGAGGATCGTAACTCCATTCACAGGACAGGCTATCATCGGCAGCTACTTTAAATTGTTGGGAAAAGCTTGGAAATAAAACTGGAAATAACATGAGTGTCTCTCGCAGGATGTCAGTGACCGGATAGAGAAAGAATTGTTAGATGGGCCAATCGTCAAGCAATTAGAGAGAGGTGGAAGAGAGGTGGTGAAGATGGACTGGAGAGAGCACATCACTGTTCCTCTTCAGACAGGTAATGGGCAGCATTTCCTCAGCCTGCCAGCAAGGGAGGTGCATGCCGCTGTTCCCACTTGGCCGGGACAGGGAAGTATCAGTGTGAAGAACTCTGCTGACAAAGGGCGTGTGCCCACGCTGCAGCGCAGCTCCACAGGGCGAAGTGCACCCGCAGGGCTGCGGGACTGGGCGCACCCAACCCACTTCTGAGGCCAGCAACTGAGACTGCTCCAGAACACAGAAAGATCTTGTCATTTCTTTTGCAGATCTTCGAAAATTCAGATCGTATAAGGGAGGGTCGGTACGGGATCTCCTGAGGGCGATGAGAAATAAGGTACAGAACTGCCTCCCGTCAGCAGCACGCACGCTGCGGGGCTGCCGCCCTTCGGTGCTCGCTGCCAGCCTGTGCCTGCCTGGCCTTGCTTTGAGTATCGACTAACACGAGGTCACTTCGTCCATGACAGATGCAGCTCTATTTAAAAGAGGGTCCTTGAACACCCCCCCGACTGAGCTTTCCCCTCTTCTTTCCTGTACAGAAGCACCATTACAGAGAGCTGCCTCCCGAAGTGCAGGAGACCCTGGGCTCCATCCCAGATGACTTTGTATGTTACTTTACCGCTCGCTTCCCTCGGCTGCTCCTGCACACCTACCACGCTATGCACATCTGCTGCCAAGAAAGGCTGTTTCAGCATTACTACCATCAGGACTCTGCAGAGCTGAGCCTCGCAGGAGACGCTGTTTGAGGAGGGAGACAGAGCTTTCTTCTCTGGGACCAACATTCCACGCACAAGGCTGTGAAACAGGCCTACCTTTAGCAGGGAAAAGTGGGATCAAAGAGCTGAATTCTCTCTCTTTGAAGAAACTAAGCTTCCAAAAAGTGCCTTGTACCACTGCCTGCGCTGGATCAGGAGACGGTAGGAGCCCAAGGAGCGAGGGGTGACCAGAACAGCAATGAACCCTGCTGATGGAGGTACTCCAAGGCAGTTTTCAAGACAGTGAAAATGGAGAGCGAAAGCTGGATCTAACCATCACCCGATACCCCTGTACTGTACATGATTTTCTAACTGATGTGTTTTACTACAAAAAATCAAAATACAGTGATTGAAATAATATAATTACTAGGGACTGGGATCTGCAAAAGGAGCCTTTTAGTTGTAGCAAATCATCCGAACCTGCCGTTGCACTACTGCCACATTATGCATTATGCACACCACAGTGATTGTAAAGAGAATGATTTATGATTATCCAAAAAAAAAAGTAAAGACAATACCATTTCTGTTTAACTCCCTGGAAAATTAGGCCCTCAGACTTGAGCAGATACAATTAAGTTCTAAAAACAGTGACTTGAAAAATCAGTTAAAGCTTTACCTACTTTGAAAATAAGCCTCATTGTTTTAGTATCAGCCAGTATTCAGAGAAGAGCTTGAACAGTCCTTAAGTGACAGTATCAGAATGACTGACTCAAGTAACTTCAGGCACAAGACACCGATGTCAGCCGTGCGCGGCTCCGAGAGGCCGCTCGCTGACCCACTGCACGCGTTCCTTCCTTACCTGCTCCGAGGGGAGGGGCTCCAGAGGCAGGGGCGAGGAGAGCTGTGGGGGACAGGGCGCTGAGTAGGTGACAGCGAGAGCTGTACAGAGCAGTGAGGCTGGAGGAGATGTTTTTAAAGGGTGTGCTCAGGCTGCAGAGGAAGCCCCAGTTCTGTTTGCCTGTGTTTTTAAAGATGCAGTATTTCTTTTCACTGGCCCTAAAGCTGTGACAAAGCATTAAGTGTGCGCAAAGGATGAAGAAATGCTGAATTCTAACGTAAGTGGGGTGTTCTTTTACAGTGTATTTATTTAACGTATTTATATTTATTTAATTTTTACTACAAAGTGGTATAAATCCAAGTGGTACAAGTATAAAGCATGCCAAATCTGTCTTAATCGAATCTTATGAATTTTGTGTTTCTATTTAATCATAACTGGAAGAGGAAAGTGATACTGCATCTTTCAATGGACTTCATTAAAGGAGAAAAATACAAAGTGGGAAGTTGTACGACTGCGCCATTGTGTCTTAAACTAATAAATTATTGACAGTAATGTGTGTGAGTTGGTACAGACAGCTACTTTTCTGGAGCTACTTCATGGGAAATATTTTTTTCCTCATTTTACAACGTCTGAGAGCAATTTACCTAAGATGCCAACTGTGCAAGTTCCTTGTTTCTAAAGCTTGAAAAAAACGCGGTTGTTTGAGCAAAGAAGATTCAAAGCCTATTTCTTATTTTTGTACTTCTCATGTAAAGTTCTTTTATAAGTCTATTAAATAAAGACTTGTACTCAAATAAAAAACCTCTGACAACTTCCAGTGCTGATGTGTGACTGGGGAGCTGAGGCTGTGTCGGGACCAGGGGGACACTCCACTACTGTGCTGGCTGGGCCTGCCCGGAGCCGGGCTTGCTCACAGCCACCACCTTCTGCTAGGCAAAAACACTTTTTTTTACTGCTATGCAGTATAGAGGTAAATAAATATCTTTTTGGGGTGTGAAACTATGTTTCTAAATGACCACGTGGTTTACAGGAAAAAAGCCTGTAAGGCAGCTTCCTCAGAAGGTGCCCCTCCCATCATGGCTGGCCAGAGCCCTGGCAGGAGAGGGCTGAGGAGTCGCTGGTCTTTCATGAACCTCCACTCCTTACTTTGGGGGATGGATCTGCCCAATTTAAAAAAAAAAACCAAAAACCAAAAAACAACACAACACCAGAACCACCACCAACCTACTACCCCAGCACACCCTGTGCCCAAGCACCCTGAACGAATGAACCCACGCCTCAGTGCAGTCACCCAAGGGGGGGTTCCCCGCCTGGGCAGGGCAGGAGCACCTCCCAGCAGAGTGCTAGAGGGTGGAGCCTTGAAGCATCCTCAAGAATGTTTGGCTAAAGCAGCTTCCCCTCCTTACCGCCGGGCAGCGGTGGCTGAGGCAGAGGCTACCCTCACCTTTGGCAGCAGGCTCCTTGCCGGCCCGACCTGGCTGCAGGCGCCTGGCGCAGCTCCGGAGGTGAGTGCTGCTCCCGCACGGGGAGGGGGCAGGGGCAGGTTAGGCTCCAGCGGGCAGGTTACTTCGTGCTAGCAGGGTTCGGACAAGAGGCTCTCCCTGCAGCCCCCAGCTCTGCCCCCCCTTAACGTACCACCGGCAGAAGCGCTGCTCAGCATGAACGTGGGCTGGCTCAGCAGCACGGGGGGTGGGTGCCCCAACCCTTCCCCCTCACCCAGC